AGTATAGAGACGTAGATAGCCCTGTAAAGAACTTTCTCCCCAAAGGAAGTTTCACATATTTTATTGGGAAAAAAAGAAATCTAAGAGACCATGTAAATCATGTGCAATATTTTCTCATAAGAAAAAAATTACAATGTCATTTGAATGTTTCAGGAGTTAAAATTTTTTATTTTTCAAAAGAAAAACACAGTGAAACTATCAAAATAGTATCTGAATCTCATTTCCTGTTTCTTATTCCTAGTGAAAAGAAGAAAAAATATTCAATAGCTTTGCTCATATGACTTGTGGATCTAAGTCTTAAACTCTTTAATAAATCTTCTAAAGGGGTGTGAGGATGTGGATGGATCGATGTTTTCTTTATTTGAAATATTTTTTAAAAGGTACAATCTACTTGCATGTCAAAGTAATACAGGTTTTTGTAGGATGCCGCCACTTCTATCACAGCTTCTCTACACCCACACCAAGAGTGCAATGGTGATTCAGTGTACATCATTACAGTGCTTCGTGGTCACAATACTTGTGTTCAAGTGCATGTTCATGGACATGAGTGAAGTCTCTGTCTTGACTACTTTTCCCACTATTAATATACAAGTCTCATTACAGTAGAAGGTCTCCTATACTTGTTTCTAAATCTGAATTAAATTCATAATACATTCTTTTAAACTTGTTCAAGACTGTGAGGTTTGTTCAGTTTACACATCTCCTGCGGATTACAGAAAATGGGCAGGTTCTGCAGCAGGGCACAAGAAAATTGGTCATTTTCTGCATATATAGCTAAGCTATCATGCCAAGGTAGTGTACACACTGGATAACTTAATGGTATTGGTGGAGAGAAAATAGCACCTTACAGACAGCCCTAAATGAAAAAAAAAATCATCATTTCTTTTTTATTAGTTTACTAGACCCAACTTATTCAATTCATATAAAGTTATTTATGAAGCCTGATAGTAAAAATGTTTGAATAACCAAAACAAGCACCACATTAGATGTCTGGCAGGCAAATAAATTAATTCGATTAAATTATATGTAATCTGATAATATTTGGTCTGGAAAACATGCTAGTGTGTGTGTATTTATAAATAATGTAACAGCCAAAAGCTATGAGCCAGCCTGCCAGAGGTCAACTCTTCTGCTGTAGCTTTTGGGCATAGAAGTCCCTGCATGTCTCACAGCAGCGCTGGTACCACCGCATATCCTGGCACAGGTTCTTCTCCCGTATCACTCTGCAGTACACTGGCCACTGGTCTCCCAGGCACTTGAAGGTCAGGGCAGCTGGGAAACAGAACATGGTGAATTCACCCTGGGAAGGCTCATGGGTACCGTCAGTAGGAACACTTTTTTTTTTTTTTTTTTTTTTTTTTTTGGG